CCCGGAGGAGGGCCGCCAGCTGTTCCCTTCGCAAGGCGGCGGTGACCACATTATTCGCGGCGTCTATTTTTAAAAATGGCTTTCCAGCCGCAGTTGTAGGAACCTGACGATTGCGAGGGGCAGCTCTTCCAGCCCTTGCAGCGCCTTGGCTTTAAATAGATTTATTTCTTCCTTCTCGGCTTGATCGCCCTCTCCTCCCCAGGATGCACCCTTGTGATAACTCTGCTCCCGTGGAATGCGCCGGTGATGCCCCTGCTCAGTCCGGGTTGGGCAGACCGGGCACGGCAAAGCCACGGGATGCGTCGGGGCTCCCGGCTTATTTGGGGGCGGGGAAGGGATCTTGGTGCTTTTGTATCGGTGCCGTGACATTGCTGTTGTGTTTGTCGGGAGGTCACCGAATAGCAGATGCTGTTTGGGTTTTGGTGATTGTAAAGTCTTTTGATTATCCTGGGAAGGTCTGCATCCTAACTCGGGAGCTGCCCGGGGGAGAGCGGGCTAACTTGGCCTCCGAGCGTGTGAGGGAAACCTGCGTGTGTGTGTGTGTGTGTATGCGGGGGGACGAGTCAGAAGGAAGTTTTCCTCCAGGAATAAGGAGGACAAAGAGAAAACCCCGGGGGCTGCGCGTAAACTCCTCTCTGGTCTCTGCCCTGTGGGAATCCCCCTCCTCGCACACACACACACTCACACACCTCTGGAGTGACATCAGATAAGAGTAATTCTTTTGTGATGCTTATGTTGGATATGTGCCTATTGCATACAATAAACCGAGCCATATTGTGTGTCTATACTCGCCCGGTTCTGGGAGCCCTGGCGTTTCGCAATTCCTGCAGCAAGATGTCCATCTCTGAAAGAAAAGCTCCCTGGGAGAGCCCGGCTCGGTCCCCCCCGTAATGCGATCTCAGGTGATCAAAGCCTTATCTCTCCTGGGTGACAAAAGAAATTTTTTTTTGATGCAGTCTCCTTTAGTCTAGGGCATTTGCTAGACAGTGGAGTCATTGTAAATTCAGGAACTCTGTAACAGCGGAGAGGCGTGCCTCTGTGCGTCAGCACAAGTACTGCATGCACAGCATTAAAAAAATAGGAGTGTGCAGGAAAAGGAAAAAAAAAAAAGCTTGT